CGTCATTGGCACTGAAGCGAGTTTCTCTCCGTCTGAAAGGCAGTGTTTTAAGGTCACAGTGAGGGCTGTCCTGCTCTATGGGAGTAAGACTTGGTCCGTTCGGTCTGATGAATTGGGGCGCCTCCAAGTTTTTGATCAGCGTTGTTTGCGGAGCATTGCTGGTGTCGGGTGGCACCAGCCTGTCCGCAAAGATGATGTGCGTAGGCGAGTGCTAGGCAGTGATAACCAAGATAGTTCCTTAGAACAACAGATAGCACTAAATATGTTGTTGGCTTTGGCATGTGCTAGTTATGCTTACAGAGGAGGGCCTGGTTTAGTCTGCCAGGTGTAGGGTGGTACATGGCTCGAGGTGTACAAAAGTTGACTTGGCAGCGTGAAATGAAGTCACTGACGACCAAACGTGGTGCCGACGGTCTGTCTTGCCTTTCGGGCTAGAGTCCACTTAACGTGCCCTGTATTTGGCTCGAGACATTACAGCACATGGCCCGCAGCCTTGTGCTGTCTCTTAATTGGACTGCCCGCTTAACATGTGTTTGTTGCTGAGTTTTCTAGGGGTAATGGGTGCTTGTGGCACTACACAGTGAAAGCCGCAAGGAACCTGTCTCGCTGATGTCGCCTTATCTTTGCACGATAGTCAGTTGTTTGTGAAACGTATGTTGTTAACACAAGGTGTAGGCGGCTTGACGCTGAATGTTGGATCAAGGCATTAACTTCTTCAGGTAAGTCCTCCTTCTCTCCCTCTTATTATTCCATATGCCATCATGGTTTATGGCAGCAAAGCATCCGTTCAGATGACTGATGGACTGCTGGTGTTGATGTTGTGTATGCCGATGATGTGTGTCGCATTGTAAAAGGATTTCTCTGTCCGGGACAATATTCTGGTAATCAAAAAATTGTTTCATTTCCTGTCACTCCCAAGGATTGATCACTTCTGGACGAACCAGGTACAGTTACCATATCTACGAGTTTGCCGGCCAGACAGTTAGATCTCACTTTAAATAACTGCTTTTTAGCTACGATATAAATGGCGATCTGTTGACCGAGTAGCTCGATATTTTTGTTTATGCGCCCCTAAACGAAGGCGGTAATGCTTTCAAACGGCGACAAGATATATGAGCCGGTTAACGATAATAAGATAATTTTTCAAGAGTTCAATAAAAAGCGGTTTTTCAGTTGTGACCATTCGGGTAAATAAACTGAAATATTCCGTATACGCGTCACCCAGCGCTAAAGTGAAGCTGCGACAGCCAACTTCAAGTCTGTAAATTGATTTGGTGATATGGAATCCTAATAACAACATTCTTTTAACTACACAAGCCGAGGACCAAAACCGGTGGGCTGAAATAACCAGCGCACTCGGACTGAAAGTTCTCCCAACTGGTCTTACACGCCTTTCACGAAATCCATCATCTCCACACTTAGGGGAACCTCGGTTACTGCGAGTAACGTTTGGCAACACGCGTGACCTGGAAGATGTTCTCTTAGCAAGCCACATGCTAGTGAACTCTTCTGTCAGTGCCCGCATTTTTCCTGACAGGCCATGGGCAGAAAGACAGAAGCATAAATCCAACCCTAGTTCGTCACGTCAAAATGAGATGAAGAAAGTGGTACTGGTTCATGGTGTGCCAGAATTGAAGCATGACGATAGCAGTGAACGACAGAAGCACGACATCGAAGAATGGCGGTACATCGCAGAACTATACGACATGAAGAATATCGTGGCTTTTGGCGTCACCCGTCTAACTGCTTCCACAAACTACCAAGGTAGCGGGCCACGAATTTTGAAAGTTACCTTGGCTGCGCCTGAAATGGTATCAGTGGCAATCCAAGCATGGCATGACAAAAGGAAACTTGGGCCACCAGAAGTACGGTTAAGACCATTTCTTCAATTAGCACAGACCTCAGATACAGATGAGCCAGCCTCAATTGTACCCATCTCAAACCAGTCAACTGTGCAAACAACCGTTTCAAAAAACTTCAGCAGACCGGCACTATTTGTGCCGGTCACTCACAGCGAACCGAGCTCCTGATGCGTCAACAAATAAAATGCTGCTACACCAACACTCAGGGGTTGTACTCTAAGCTCTCGGAGCTGCGCCACCGACATGAAACGACAACTTGGGACCTCATAGCAGTCACTGAAACTTGGCTCTCAAACGACATACTTGATCCGGAGATTGAACTCAGTGAGATGTCAATCATACGAAATGATCGTCCATCTCGCGGGGGCGGTGTTGCTCTCTACTATCGAGATTATCTGAAATGTGAGGCACTTACCGAAAATTCCCTCGTTATTCCCGACGCACTATTTTGCCGACTGCACCTAGCAGGTCGAGATGTTGGTTCACAGAAGAAGAGTGATGCTTGCCTCTTAGCAGTTATTTATAGACCTCCGAACGCATCAGCAGACAGCGATAACATTCTGTTAAACGCCCTCCGCTATGCTGTTTCACAAAAGTACTCTCACTATCTTATAATGGGTGACTTTAATGTTCCTTCAATAGCATCAGTGTCCCCTAATGGGCCATCATTTAAATCGAAACTCCTCGAATTTATGGATATGGCAGTTTTGTATAACCATGTGCATCGACCAACCAGACATCGCGGTTCAAACAAGCCATCACTCCTGGACTTAATCCTGACTAATGAAGAGTTGATGGTTGAGTCAGTAGCATACGATCCTCCACTGGGCCGTAGCGATCATTCAGTCCTAACATTTGGTTACGTATGTTATGCCAGTATTGTTGCTAAAGAAAGAGAGACTCAACGCACTATTACGGACTATTATAAGCTGCGCAGCTTAACAGCAACCGTTGACTGGGACCTACAGACGCACAGCTCAGCGAATGACGCGTGGAATGAATTGAAAGACAAAATTAACTGGGTCATACAATCAGCATCGAAGGTTGTACCATTACGAGCATCGCGCCGGACCAATACGTGGATCCGGAGCAGAACACGTAAATGGATCAACAGAAGAGATGAAATCTGGAGGCAACATTTGCTAAGCCCATGTGATATCACATGGCAGGATTACAAAGTCATAAGAAACTACTGCACGTCACTCATTAGAGTCGATAAGTAGGAATGGCAGGAGAATATGGTGCTGAAATTTACGAGTAACACCAAACTGCTATACAGATTTGTGAATGGCAAAAGAAAGGTTAAGCCCGGAATACCACCACTCAGGACGGCCAGTGGCCTAACGACTACTGCTGTGGATGCCGCGAACGCTCTACTCTTGCAGTTTGGCTCGGTAGCTACAAATGTTATGGGACCTTCGCTCTACCAACTCCTAACAAATGTCGTTGGCTTATCCAGCATCACGTTTACTCCAGCAGCTGTTGCAAGCAAACTACAGTCTCTCCGGGAGTACAGTGCCCCTGGAATCGACATGATCTGCCCAAAAGTACTAAAAACGCTTGCTCCCACCATAGCAACACCACTTGCAACCTTTTTCAGTGTCTGCTTAACTCCCATACACTCCCATCTGAGTGGAAAAATGGAATTATCACTCCGATATATAAAGGTGGTAAGCGCTCGGATCCTGCTAACTACCGACCTATTACTCTCCTTCCTGTTTTGTCAAAAGTTATGGAATCGGTAATCGCAGATGAACTGACGCGATACTTTGAAAGTCAACTGATAATTTCTAATGCCCAACATGGGTTCCGACGCAGACGATCTTGTCTCACCAATTTGCTGATTACTCGGGACTTGTGGACCAGGGCGGCTGATGAAGGAGTCCCCATAGATGTGATATACCTGGATTTTTCTAAAGCATTCGACAGGGTCAATCACTTCTTTCTCCTCCAAAAGCTTGCTGCCTACGGTATCAACGGTTCCCTGCTCACTTGGTTGGAAGACTACTTACACGACAGAGCAATCAAGGTAAGAGTAGTTGACACCTATTCCGAAAGCGTTTACGTCTCCAGTGGTGTTCCACAAGGATCCGTCCTCGGCCCGCTACTATTTTTAGTCTACAGTATTGACCTTCCAGCAGATATTCTATCTCCAATGCAGATATTTGCAGACGATGCTAAAATATGGAGAGCAATTCGCTCAGCATCCGACCGTGTCTACCTCCTGGAAGATCTGACCCGGATTAACAAATGGGCAGAAAAGAACCAGCTCCCACTGAACGCTGCAAAGTGCCACCTGCTGACGGTGCACAACAGCTTCGTTAACACATAACTTTTGGGGCAACATGTCATGCAACACGTGACTAGTGAACGCGACTTAGGTATAATTGTGCAAGAGAGTCTTGGAAATTCGCTCCAGTGTTCGAAAGCAGCAAGTGTAGCGAACTTGAACTTGGGACTTTTGAGGCGAGCTCTCGGCACTTTTGAGCGACAGCTAGTACCATTGTTGATTAACTCCTACATTCGTCCTCATGTTGAATATGCAATTCAGGCCTGGTGTCCATGGTTAAAACGAGACATCCGCCTCTTGGAACAGCCCCAAAGAAGAGCCACAAAAGCAACGCGTGGACTATCCGGTATAAGTTACGAAATGCGTCTTCGTGTACTCGGTATGTTCACATTAGAATACCGACGGCTTTGCGGAGATCTTACTCTCAAATACCGGATATTAACCGAAAGTGAGCATCCATGTACATCACTGTTGACTCTAGCCCCATAAAAACAAAACCGAGGCAGCCACCTGAAACTAATGACGCAACACTCTCGTTTGAATTGTAGAAAGTATTTTTTCTCACTTAGAATCTGTTCTCACCTGAATGCATTACCAAACTATGTGGTGAACGCACCAGACATGACGACATTCGAAAGACTCTTAGATTTTCATCTTAGTGGTAAACGATACACAACACTTTGTTAAAGTGCAATGATTTAACCACTGATACTTTACGTTTCACGTTGGAACATTTTGATTTTAATTTTCTTTTGCATATCCATCCTGTGGGTCTTGTAAAGTTATGCTTTTTATCCCATCATACACCATTGAACCATTGAACATTCATGAATAGGTAAACAACTCACCAATAGAAACCCCGCCATTTTTTCGCATGCAAGTGGGATCGAACATTCCGGTTGCTCTACTGTAGCATTCATCAAACAGTGGCTCGTGTAATTTTCCGTCATCTTTCCATCGCATACGCTGGGCACCCCGTTGAAATGGACGACCTCTTATGAGGTTAATTAGCGATGGGCAAGCAGCGACAATGAGTACAAACAGACTGATGCCAGCCAGCACTCCACAGGTGATCGCTGTAATATGCATCCAGTTGTGGCTCACATAAGCGTCGCTAACCAAAGATTTGGAGCCTGGTTTACTCTGAGGAGTTGCTTGCACGGCAGAGCGCAAGTCTGTCTTCGATTGCCTCGGAACAGCTAGGAGTGTGGCCAAACTGAGGGAGGATGCTAAGTAGACTGTGAACCATAGCCACAATGGCAAGCAGCAACATTTGCGATACGTTTGGCAAGAATCATCTGAGGTTGTGGATAAAAAATAATCATGCGTGAGCACCAAATGTTGAAGGGATTAGTGGATTAAATTAGTGTCATACCTTATCGCTAGAAAGTTGTGGTCTAGGTGAATTGTCATGTGTTGATTGCTTGAGCTAAACGGTTGTTTGAGTGGTTGTGTACCGGGAACACCATTATCGATCTAACTCCCTGAAACTTAGATGGGCAATATGTTATAGCGAGTCCAAGGAAGGTGAAAATTTTATCTAGTACATTTTTATGGTGTGTAGTGGCATTTGGGGAAATCTACTGCTAAGGCGCTACTGCTACTACTAATGGAACACTTTAAACCTCTCATCGCTTACTGACTGTTAGCAACCGGGTGTAGAGTTCTAGCGCCATTATTTTGGAGAGTTGCTAGAGGATTGTCTAGCTGTGAAGATCAAGTATTTCTTTAGCAAAGCAGTAACTAACAAGATAGTTAAACATACGCGCGGTATTGAAGGCTAGTATTCAGCCTTGAGGGTGCACTGGTACTATCCATAGTCCAGTGGTATAAACTGCTGGTTCGCTGGACAGTCATTGCGGTTCCAAATGTCGGCGAAACAAAGGGAAGTGAGTGCCACACGGATGGAACTTGTTGGAACGCAAAGACTGTCCGGTTCGTATCCTATTATGCAATGGGTGTCGGACAAATCTAGTCCTGAAGACTCACCTTAAAACTGCTCTAATATGTGGACACACCTATGTCTTAAACACATATTCAACAATAGCTAGCTGCGCCACGTTCACTGCCTACTTGCAAGATAATAGTCAGTAATACCCAAGTGAAATTTGCAAATTTGCATAGTTCCTATAAATAAATTGAAGCTTTTAGTATATTGTATCCAGGACTTTGAGTTATTTCGATATGCGTGATTGCTTTTCAGTGATGCGAAAAATAATTTACTCTGACGCCGAAAACTAACAGATCTTGAATTTGAGATTTGTTCAGATCAATTTCCTTGTAATAATCATCGGTGTAGTTGTCCCAGTAGCAATAACCTACCTGAAAATCAAGCCATCGTTTACTATCAGAAACAATCTAAGAAACTGAATTTAGTAAGATAGGTTGTACACCATTTCAACATGCGAAATGCACTGCAGAGTACGTGGCTTGTTAAGTCAGTCCAGGTGACAGGTTAGTGAAAAAATAAGTACGCAACTAACTGATTGTTGGGTTTTCGCATACCCACTGTATACTTTGCAGTGCGACGCGCCATCTTAATTGTGGTTCCGGTTGACCTTAAAGGCAGCCTGTGCTATTCCGATCACTAGGACTGTATTCCAGAATATTTCATGGAACATCGAAAGATTTGCGAACCTCGCGTTGCATTATCGATAGTAGGCTGCATTCTACTTACCAAGAAATCGTTTTTCAAGCACATGCAGTTATTTGTATCTTCGTAGTGTAAGCCCGGATATGAACTGGACATTGTTAAGGTGGCTATAGCGCACGTTGTTTGCCCGGGAAAAAGAAAATAATGTAGCCCAGCTGCCGTTCTTCATGACTCAGTGGCTTAAGCTGCTGGCTATTTGGCGTCAGTCTCTAGCGGTCATGGGTTCGATCCCCAATTTGGAACCGAGGGAATGCGCATCATTGACGATCCCTAATAGGGCGAAAAGCGTCTGGTGCTTATCAGGATTGTGGTTGAGCTATGTACCTTGTCATCTGGTGGGAAGAGATTAATATTAAACCTAAGCTCCACCTACTCATAAATAACACACCGTTAGTTGTCTGAGAAAACGCTTGGGTTATTTGACATACCGTACACATCTTTACTGGCCCACTGCATCCGAACTGCCAGTTTCCCATACTTCTGTTCCATGTACATCCACAGCTTTTCAGTCATTAGTGCGACCGCGTTTATTGCACTGACACAGTTGCTCACATCTAAGCTGATTGGTAAAAGCCTGAAGACGATAAGATAAAGAAGAAAATGCACGTATGAACCCGACTACATCGGTCAAACCGGATATGTAAGGTGGTGAATTAAGTTAATTGGTGAGATGTTATGAAGTCTACTTTAGTTAAGCGCCAAATGCACAAGCGACTAATGTAGGCGAAATAAAACTGGTAAGAAATATTGCGATAGTAAAAGCACGGTTCGTGTAAACTCCATTAATAAAATAGAATCAGGCTATTAACCTGTGTGCACTGTGTAAGCGGCGTCACTCTATCCTTGTGGTGTTGAGTGTACAATACAGATGTGCGTTCAACCCAGCTGTACTGTTATGAAACCTGACCAATTAAACCAGCCGACATAAAGAGGTTAGTTACGTTCGACCACCGGTGCTTCGCAGTTTGGTTCATATCTGGTGGGAGCATCGTTTGAACAATGAGCGTGTTCGAGGCCATGTTTATGGCGTAGGAAGAAAAAGCGAACCGCACATCATTATATCACACACCCGGTTACGATGGCTCGGCCACGTGTTGTGCATGCCAGCCCACTGAATACCACCAGGTGCGTTGTTTGCACGCCGGGGTGTGGATGGAAGAAGAGGAGCAAGGGTGGCCAAAAGATGACTTGATTAAGATGAATGAAGACCCTTGGTTCAAAGTTGGCTTCAATTTGAGCCTTCCTTCTCCCTGGTTGGGGACAGAAGGACAATGAACACGTTTGGCTAGATGCGTTTGTCGACATGTCTAGGATCCGACCTCAATAGCATTTGTGTCGTGAGATTAATTGCCTTCCCCCTCCCGCTTAGCATTCCCCTCCAACCACGATCTCATCTATTAGGCATTATCTGACTCCCAATAGCCGACTGTTAGATCTTCGGAACGAAACCCATTCGTCACTGGTGGCTCCGCCAGCGTGCCACTGTTTCATCTATTTTTATTTCGTACTGCGGCACAATAGCTAAGATGTTTTCCACCTCAGCTAACCTGTATAATGATGTGCATTGAGTATCAAAACGCTAATTCACGTGTGAATAAATTCTTCTTTAGTATATGCTTTTTGACTCCCACTGGATGTCTAGTTCATGTTAATCAATTAACTGCTCCAGAAAACAATTTAATCCAACTTTGATATGCAGAGAAATCATGAATATGGAATAAGAAGTATTAAGCTAATGTGGGAAGTTCCCTCTATATTTTCGGAAAGTCCAGGTTTTCTGGTGAGTAAAGAATACTTATTTTGTTCAGAAATGTAAACATATTTGGACATTTTGTCGCCCGACCTTAAAGGAAACCGTATTTTAGTCCTCAAGCGATCGGCACAAGGAACTGTTTTAATCATAAGACATCAAGCTTTGGATATTACTCGCAATGTGATTTCAGTACATATTATCTATCCTTCAGCAGGGTGCTGTTCTCAGGAATGCTCTCCAAACGCCTTACAACTCCGTTTCAAGATGCGTATCGGTAAATAATGCGCACTATTCTTAAACAAATAAAGGCCAATTCAGAACAGATTCGATAGAATCCACTGCAAATGAACCCAATGGGACTACCGTCATGGACCAGTAATAAACTTGATAACAAAGATGCAACCACGAAATTCTCTGTCAACCTGTTTTCCTTATGGAACCTATAGCGCTACTATAAAACAGTCTTATTTTTCTATCTTCTGTATTTCACATTCAAAAAGTATGTCATTCATGGATCACTGTACAATGAACCATCAGCAAAACAACATTCGTTGTCTATTAACTCCACGAGGCAGTTTAACTGGAACCCCAGACTAACCAATAAACCAGTACATATATTTGTACCCCGGCTAAGCTCCGCAAATCCGGCGAAGTCTAAGTTGGAGTAAACGGCAGGTGGAAGGTGGAAAATCTCACTTCACAGGTTGGGCAATGTTGGAAACCGGGGGCACTCTGCAGAAGAGTATATTGAGTAGCAGATAGCAGCCTCGCATGTACCGTGACAAGGTTTCTGAAAACTGGATCCAGTTTGGCGTTCTTTTGGCTCGCACTCCGTAGAATATTATGCCTTTAACATGAAAAATCATGAAACGCATTAAACTTCACCCACGAGTCTATAAGACATACATTCTGGAAAATAGGCAGGAAAGCCCACTCTCCAAAGTACTCCGAGGGTTACAGAAGCATTACTCTGTGAACAAGGATAATACGGGATTATTTGCTTCATAGACCAAAGTGATAAAAACGGAAAACTTAAATGTTGCCTAAAGTATTATTGTGTCAAATCCCTCAAGTTGCATAATGTTCGTTGGTTTAAACAGTCTCAACGGTATATTTGTGCTGTTGCTATAATGCGTAAAATCTTACAGCGACACTATCATCAGATTTAATAGTGTTAGCTTGATTTGTACATCCAGAGCGAAGTATATATACTTTTAATATTGGGTTCAGCAATTATAGAAAAAGGGTAAATGGTTTCTTAGTATCTTAGGCTTTGATGACGGGTCTATTATATATTTATGCTCTGGACAAGAATAACATCAACCATGGTATCACAAGGTTAAGACATTAGTACTGTAAAGTAACTGGAATGAAAATACACACCGAAGCATATTTATGTGCAAGAAAGGCAAATTTGATTGCAGGAAGTAAAGCAAACGCATACAGCAACTGCCATAAGGGCGCAAAATCCGATTTACAGGGACACGTTTCTCCAGTTCCATTGAGTCGTTGACCAGGTGACCATGGAAGCCATGTTTTAGAGAACTTAATAGCAGTTCTAGCGAGTACCATAATTGTTTGACAATCCACTGGTGGAACTGCCCAACGATATAGATACTTCCTCCGCTTAAGTAAGTAGTGCGCAGATTTAATGCGGTTGTAACAACTAACTTGATAAGTGGAACATGTAACTTTGCACTCCACACGTCAGACAATCAAACAATTTCTTCTTTGAGACTAGCACTGTACAAGTGGTTCGTTGTGGGGCTTTGCTCTTCATGGTCCTTCGGTGTAATATTGTCACTTACATACTCAAGCGCGGATCATGTAAAATTCAGCCGAAATATCTTTGACTAGGAACTTAAACTGAGCCGAAGGTGTTTTGTATCCATACAGAGAACAGACAGCTGGATTGTGAACCAAAGGTTTTAAAAGGGGACTGACCTCAGAGGGGCACTGTTGTAATCATCAAGCATTAGAGGGTTAGCTATTTATTAAAACCAGGAGCATTTACAGTTAATTAGTAGTTTATGTCTGGTAGAGCCGAAAAGCAAACGCATATTTATTTACGCCAGGTAATTTCAAGCAAGCTATCCACCAGCCAACATTAACATTTTTAAGTAATTTCAGAAAGTTTTATTAGGTTAGTAGTGATTGGTCCGGACGTGACATTTGATCAACTTGGCCGATGCCAATGGTAGCTATGGTGTAAGACACGCTGATATAAAATGCCAAAAATGCCAGGTGTACAGAAACTAAGGTATAAACCTTACTTTCAAGAGTAATATCAGCCACTGTAGTTCCTGAATGCCTCCACAAACTTAAGCTCGCTCTTACCAATATCTATGACCCTGTGGTAAACAAACCGTCTAGTGATCTCAACCTCACGGCTTCGGTTCCCAGCTACAATCACAAAGGCATTTCACCAGGTACGAATCAGTGGTAACTTGAGTCTAATGTACGACAACATATGCGTATCACTGATACACAATTTCTATAATCAAGGAGACCTTAATTATTGTTCTGGGAATTTGGATAGATAGGCTCAAATATTACTGCCAAATGAAACAGATATAAAGTTGGCAGCAATCATTGCCCTGAATACTTCGCGGTTCAAAATCAGCGTACTTTGATCTGGCTGATTCTTCATAAGGTAATTTCACACGTTGACATACTGCGAATCATTTGGGATATATCAGGCAGAATTGTATTGTGGCGATAAATAAAACTTAAATCCGCACAAATCCATCGGAATATGATCAAAAAAGTGCTAAGCTGTCCTGTATCACCTAAATTGGCCTGTAATTGTCCCCTTTGCTTGTGCCGTTGTCTTTCCAAATCAGCTTTACCACTATTTCCAGTCGATTAACCATGAACCTTCGAACAGTGACCTGTTGAATAATCCAGTCCGGGCAAATAAGAGGATGGCCTATGGGGACTTGAGAATCAATTAGTGGAGTCCCCTATGCCCATCAAATTTGGTGACGTCACGGTTAGTGAGTAGTTGACCCAACTCTTCAACATCGCAGTCCAGACCGTCGAATTCCATAAGCGCGATGCACGTCGAACTCGGCACAGACACCTGGTCATTTGCGAATACGGCAGCGACGTGCGCCACAAGCGCAGACGCCAGTTCAGTGCCACTGAGCCCGCAGAAGTAAATGGTTTCCTTAATTGCAATGATATATGCATAAATAAATAAATAAATAAATTGTATATGGCTCGACGATGGGAGAAGCCGTTCCCAGAAGGGACGGATCAAATAATGGTACAGCAGTTTCATATCATGGTATAATAAATTTAAAAAAAATGTGAGCACAAAATGAAAATTTGTGTAGCGCGAAGCGATCCAGAATATTTACATTCCTCTTGTTCTGTCGTCTGACAAGTTTTTAGCAGTCACATGAGAGTTGATCGCACACGAGAAAAAAAGAGAATAAAGTGCTGCGGGCCAACAAAATATAACTACTTGTGCACTTGATCACATGCATTTTCAGGCACCATTAACTCCGTTCTCAAAAGCGTTATCTAAGGACTGTGCTGTTCGAAACATTATTATCACATTTTGAACGGTTAAATAATCTTTTATCGAAAGCTTAAACAAACGCAATGTGCAACAAGTTCTGATAGCTCTTGGAAGTTTGTTCCAAAGCTTTGAGTAGTGTAGTAAGAAGAAACGCTCCCTAATTCGCGTATTGAACTTTGGAATCATGACCGTTGTCTCCTTATTTCGTAGCTCGTATCTAGTGTTAACGGCCATATGGACACAGTTAGCATAATTGTGCATGTGATGGTGAATTATTCTGTACAAGAAACACAAGTTCATCTTCATTATCCCTAGCCAAATTGGGTCAAGTCCAAGTTTTTCACTGCGCTCTCTGTAGGTCATCTTGGAGGAATATCCGCACAGCTTCTTTGTAAAGCGTCGCTGTACCCTCTCAAGAGCATGTTGGTCAGATTTCCGCAGATTCGACTGTATTAGTGAGCAGTATTCCATGCCAGGTAACACATATGTTTTATAAAGCCAGATACGAGATTCTGTGAGTTGAAATTTATGACAGATATAGCCAATAGTCTTCATGGCTTTCGAAACTTGGAAGTCACAATGTTCCGAAAAGTTGAAGGTAGCGGAATACCGCACACCCAAGTCGCGAATCACTTTGCACTGTGATATAAACGTGCCTTGTAATAATATACTATCTGGTGGAACCGCATCTGTACGACAGAATATTACATTTGTCTACGGAAAAGGACATCTGCCACAGTTTGCTCCAGGATTCAAGTGCCGATAGATCTTCCTGAATGTGGCACAAGGCTGCGCGGGTATCTGCACGTTCTTGTGAGCAGACGATTTTAATGTCATCAACAAACAGAAAAGTAGTACCATGTCTTATTCTATGAAATACATCGTTGACGTAGAGGGGAAAAAGAAGTGGACCAAGTACACTTCCCTGAATTACTCCACTGGTGACTGTTTCGGTTTAGAGACACGGTCGCCAATACGCACCACCTGATGTCTGTCAGCTAGGTATGACGACAACCAAGAAAACATTGGTTCTCCAATACCTATTTCTTTCAGCTTGAGGAGTAGTCATCGATGCGGCACTCTGTCGAATGCTTTTTGCATGTCTAAGAACAGGACAATAACACTGTTGCCTTTGTCTATGGCAGCCCTTGTGTGGTTTAAGAAGTCTGTCTGGCATGTCGCACAAGATCTGCCCTGCAAAAAACCGTGTTGTGAATTGTTGAACAATGAACAATGATGAACAATGATTTATCACGGGATAAAAGCAAGTGCTTGACACGTCCCGTAGGATGGTTGAGGTGAATATGATAAAATCAAAATATGTCTGGGTCATCTATCGAACGTCTGCCGATATGAATAGTTTGATAAGCAACATCAGTGTAAAATTAAAATAAATTATCGGGCGGAAACATGCAGAAAGACACTGGGGTGCAGTGATCATTGAGGTAAAGAGTGAGAAAAGTAAAATATGGTCTCTCACTTAGGTCCATTTGATACATAAATCCTGTTGAAATGCATCCTTGGCGTAATCCACAGTAGGGGAATTTAGGTAACAAAATGTTGGGAGCTGAGGGCAACATCTAATCGTTTTTTGAAAACATCCAAGGTAGGAGAGGATACAACTTAGTCTGGGAGTGCGTTCCAAGGTTTGTAAACCCGAAGGGAAAAGTAATTCCGTCGACACTCTAGACGGCTGTATTGTTCCTTCAACTTTAGGCAGTTACCCCTGAGCTGCGTGTTGTGGCTACGTTTCAGCAAATGGCTGCATACGTGATTGGGGTCACCCAATATTTGATAGGCTAAAATGAGATCACCGCGCAGTCATCGATAGCGCCCGCTGAAAATTCCCAACAACTTCAGTCTTCGGTGATAAGAGTAGTAGCGCAGACCCTGCACATTCTTTGTTGCTCTCCGTTGCGGTGTCTCTATCGCTTCTAGGTCACGCTTCAACCAAAGTTGCCAAGCTTGGATAGCGTATTCAACATGCGGGCGCACGTAAGAATTGTGCATCATTGGGAAGATTGATGGGTCAAATCTCCCGAATGCTCTTCGCAGCATGCCGACATGCTGGTTGCCTCTTTTCGCAGCTACCTCAGCCTGTTTTGAACAGTTGAGGTCGCTCTGTACGATCACACCCAGGTCACGTTCCTGGGAGCTATTCTGCAGTCCGTTGGTCCCAAGTGAATAGGTGTAGTTATGACAATGGCGTAATTGTACGACGCGACATTTGTCTACATTGAACGGTAGGGCGATTTGAAGTGACCAGTTCGACACTGTGTTAAGATCGCACTGGAGCCGTTCATTGTCTTCCGGCCCTCTGA